TTTACAAATTAATACTTATAAATGAAAATAATGGAAAGCAGGGTAAAGCAATGTGAAGGAATCGTTGGGTCAACTTTTTCTGAGGTATGGATTTTCCCAAATCCACCCTAGTTAATCTCAATTAAACAATGAGACATTAAGTGAAGAAAAAACCCTTCTATAAATTAATCCACAAAACTTATATGGCTGTCGTTCTTTAGTCTTGGCATTAAAACATGCGCGGTGATGGTGCCACTGCTGGGTGTCACGTGGTTATTTGGTCTTTTGTTACCCTTACATAAAGCTTTCGCCTACATTTTCACCATCTTAAACTCCACTCAGGTAAGCTTTTAACAGAAATTTTTAAATTTGAATCAAAGGTTTGCATACTTAGGCGCTCAAACTACACCTCAGGTAAAAACAGACACTAACTTTATTCAGATGATATTTCCCATTCAACATTATTCTAATCGATATGATAAGTTATTTCTCGATTCATGAGATCTGTAACGTACTTTTAATCAATATTTTACCCCTACACGTTACGGCGGTTTCAAAGATGAACAAATGATAAGAGCATCATACACCTTGAACTCTATGCAAACTTTGTCATCAAAGACTAGCCCTACCCTACGACTTGTTTAAAACATTATTATACCGACCAATTATAATGAAAAAAAATTGATCTTGAAAGAATCATCTGTTTTCAGGGTTTCCTGATTTTCGTCCTTCACTGTGTGCGAAACAGCCAGGTGAGATGGATATCAGACTGAGAATGTACATAATGAAAGCGAATTGTGAAGTTTTTAAACACAAGTTAAACATTTGATTGCTTAACAACAGACATTTGGTTACCTGTTCATCTACAGATTAGAGAGCGATTGAAGAGGAGGATGAACACCATTTTTCCACATGCAGACGATGGAAACTTTACAAAAAAGGGCTCACATGTTAATGTAGGTGGTGCCGGAAATGTGTGGACAGTTGAATTGCAGTCTTTTAATAACTGAAGAATAGCACTTAACTTGAGTATAGCAACTCAACCAACGTTTAGCTGTAGCCAATCACATAGTGTGATCGTCAAGGCGAAGGTATATCTTCAATTGGGCTTGTTCAGGATCGAAATGTCAGCAAAGTCAGGGCTTCTGTGTCCACTAGTAAGTCAGTATAACAATGTTTTGAACAAGTCGTGGTGTAGTGCTAGTATTTGTTGAAAAAAGTTTGCATAAAGGAGGGCAGTGAATGGTACCCGAGCAAATTATAAGTCTCGCGAAGTATTATCCGATCACGAAATCACGGCTCAAAGTCTAGCATTTTTTCAATAGGCCATATTCTCTTCTAAAAGATAGTTAGAATTACTTGAAGCCAACACTGTGGGCGACGAAAAAACCGCCCAGGGGCCCATGTGTGAATAGTGTTGATGCGACTTCAATGATTAAAATTAATACCCCATCCACACCAGCAAAACATGTTTTAGCTACACCAGGTTTAACTGAACAAAAATACGAATCTGAGAACTGCAAATTTGAATTTTATAAAGGATTTAAGCAGTCAATAACTTGTATTTTCAATGTGCTAAATTTGAAGCCGACGAACATCGTTTTAAGCAGCTTAAACTGTTTTTAACGAAATATCATTAAAACATGCTCAAGCGTTGGGTGAATGGGGTATAAGATAATAACAAGGAGTTTGTATTTTAGTAGCTTTTAAGTTTTTTAGTTTCAGTCCCGGTTTTTTTTTTTTTGACAAAACTCACGTTGTTTGAGCGAGTCACGAAATTCATTAGTTGCCGCTATATAACTTAATGTGTTTGGAAAAGTTATTCGCTGAAATTTGTTGATCGTGATGATAATGCCTTTACCATTAGATGTTAATTAAAGAGATGAACTTAAAATTCTGGACAAAATTTAGATTTTGGGTTAGCCTATTCGCCTTTGAATTTGAATTCGCTGAAATTTGTTAATCAATGTTGTAACTTTTACCATTCGATGTAGATTATAGAGATGAATTTAAAGGTCTAGATGGAATCGAGATATCGAGTCAGCCTATTCGCCTTGAATTTACGCATTACAATGTCCTTTTTCTTTAATGTATTCTCATGTGCTATGAAAGAAGTTATAAACTTAGTCAAATAAAATGTGAAACAAAATTGGTATCGATCAAAGTAATAACGAATAAATAACAAGTAGATAAGAAATGTGATGTCGCCCTGTTACATCCTATGGGTAGTTTAGTATAAGTGGGCATTTTCTGTCGTATCCTCAAGAAGAAGTTGGCCGGTACAGTTATCATTCAAAACATCCTGATTATATATTTATCTGCCTTTTTATGGTCCTGAAGGGGGAGGGAGGTGGAAGTTTGTGATCCTCATATACCACGATGGGGTTTCCTCCTAAATACACCTTTAAGTTGCAAGGTGGTCAACAGCTAGTAAGCTGATATGATCAGCCTGGTTGGATGGCCGTAAAGAGGAGTTCACAGACATGTAAATTTTACAATAATGAATTCGAAGAAGAGAGCTTCTAAATACACCCTGTGGCTATCTCCAGGCTCTACATGGATAGGGCTATAAGTGATTTCGGTGAGTAGGCTGGGTAAGAAAACTGAGATGGTCGAAGCTTGATTCAGAAATCACATTTTTCTATACACTACAACCTAAATGGGCCGAGAATTATCGCTCAAGACAAGTAGTTTTGAATATTTTATATGGAGTAATACATATGATCTTATCATTGCCAGAGTTAACGAGTTACACAGGGGGGTGGGAGAGGGTGAGGTTCAGACCCTCTGAACCCTGCTACATTTGCCACAGCAACGGGAGAGAACCTTACCAATCAACCTACTTCCTTGTCATGGCAATCGCCTTATTGTCCTATTTGTCGATTTTCTGCACCAATTCAGTTATTGTTATGAGTTATAGTGATTATAATCTGAAGCAAAATCATATGAATTACAATGTAAATAGTAAGATTCGGAGTGCCTCGACTGATCTGTCCTTCTTTTCAAGAAAGAACTTTATTCCTTTCTGCGTCGCTATTGAGGATTGCTTGAAGACGATACGTCATATTTCTGGCGTAACCTCTTCATTGATGTCATCTAGAAGGTTTACACCAGATATCCAATAGTGTGGAAGATTTCTTCTCTCCAGATAAATCTGCAGAGCTCTAAGAAATCCAAGGAAATGGTTTCCCAGCGCGTCTCCGCTCGCCCAGTTTTGTAAACCACCTTGCTAGGACAACGAGGCTGTAAAACCAACCATCCCAAAGGCGTACAGGGTCGATATAAACTTCACGACTTGCATACTTTCCGAACAACGAGTCATCTCTTGCCTTGAGGCAAACATACCCAGATATTCCGGATTCAATGACCCCAATCTCTCTCCTTGTCGTTCTCAAAACTACCATGACATCTACTTCATCGGCGGCTTCAGTCTTCAGCCTCTCGTACACACTTCCGGTATAATCCAGTTTTAGTATAGGAAGAGACGAGTGCTGTTGGCAAAACACTATGACTTGATTTTTGACGTACTTAATTATTCACCAAGCGTCTGGTGCGGGCCATGTCGTCCTCGGAAATTTTGACATACTTTACACAGAAAGCACGAAGTTTCCTCTTTAAATTCGAAATATCTCCTCTCCTTGCCTCGGCTACTGTGTAGTAATAATTTTCATGATTCCCCTTCCTATGGTTGTTGTGTGCGAATCAGTCAACATATAGCTAAATCAAAAGGTAATATACCGATTGAGGTCTCGCTTTTTCCTATCCTCTAAAACCAAAGTCAATTTGAACTACACTTTAATCTATCTATATCGTCTAATGCAACTCCGTCTGGTAAATAGAATGCAGAAGAGAGCTGTGCAGGCTATCACCAACTCAGACTATCGAGTACACTCCTTTATTCTCCAAACCAGAAATTTAAGATGTTTTCCAAGTCAATACGTTTGCAATCGCCAATTTCATGTTTCACTATTAAAAAAAGTATCTATTTCCCCCATTGCTTCTCAATCGTTTTTGTTACAAATAGCCAAATTCACTGCTTTGGTACCAGAACTGCTACGAACGTATTTGTGTCGTACAAATCTCAAGCAATTAACAATTCTCTAGCAAGGTCCTAAATTTGGAACCCTCTTCCTGTTTAATTTCAGTCCCTCTTTAGGCAAATCTTCTTAGCTTTAAGACAAAAATCCAAAGGTTTTTACCAATATAAACACTGAATTGGCCAAGTAGCACATTTGTAGCACTCATCCTTTCTCAAATATATTGTTGTTAGTAAGGTGGCCTCTCCCATAAGCCCGGTGGCTTTTTGAGTCTCGTCGCCTTCCACAAATCATAACTCTGAGGATAATTCTTTTTTTCGGATTGCGAAAAAGGCATAAAAACCAGACAGTATCCTTATCAATTATCAAAAGGATATCCTTGTATAGTAAATTCGTCATTCTATTTGACAAACTTACTAGCTTGTAGCAGACTCTTTTGACCTCCATGCAAAATGTTGCGATCTCAGCGATTGAAGTCGAGTTGTCTGTCATTTAACAATACGTCGTGTTAAATGAAATCGAGTGTAAAAAGCATAAATACTCGTGAAAATCGCCTTCTTGATTTGATAACACCCTACAGGAGCTTTCCCTCAAAAAATGGATCTGACATGTGCATTTGAATTATTTCTTTTTAAGACAGTGGTTTTTAAATTCAAGTGAAAGCCGTGTTTTAACACAAACGATTTTATCAAACTAAGTAAGGATTTATCCTTGCTCTTGTTTATTTTCGAGGAGCCCTTGTCACTGTGAAATTCACAAAAACATACAGAAAAAAAGGGGTTTCGAAACAAGGTAAATAAAATGAAACAACTCCAGACATGCAACTGAACAAGCCACAAAGTTGGCGCCAACGTTTTCGGTAAAACGTGCTTGAGATGAATTTCCAAGAATTGAAGAGAGATAGCTAATGACTTATCTTACTTTTCGTAGATTTTGAAGTCGATCAAGTGAAACTTTGGAGAAAACCGCTAGACAGGAAAATGACTCGTGACTTGCCTCCAACTTCAACAGCTCAATGGCTTTGTAACCGCTTAATTTTGCCTTTAAGCACTTCCGGGTTTTCTTAGAAAGTTTAATGATTCGATTAATTCACAGGAACTGCACCTTTTGCCTTTCAACGGATTGAAAAAGAACGATGTTGACAAAAAATGATATTGATCTTAATCATTGATTTGCAAACAATATATAGGGGATTAATAAGGTAGTCGGTAAGAACAAAACAGAGTCCCAAAACCTACAACAGAAACACAAACTTAAAACAGAATCACAAAATCCGCAACACTAACACAAAACTCTACAACACAAACACAGACTTAAAAAAAATCACAAAATCCGCAACACTAACACAAAACTCACAAACACAAACTTAATTAAGTTTGTGTTTGTGTCTTGGATGGTTCATAAGGAAATTTTAATTGACTTCTGAAAGCTAAATTAAAGGTTCATTTCAGAACTTTTGTACATCACTTAAATGTTTCTAATGTTAGCCTTTAAGTTACTTTTAAGGCAACTTAATTGAGCCATTACCAAAGCCACTGAATACGAAACTTTCGATTTTTCGTTCCATATTTTGGTTTTCTTCCGTTTTTAGGAAAGTTTCAATGTCACTGGCTGTGAGCGATACAGATTTTTCAGTGTTTTGGCAGCCATAATCCGAAAAAATTCAGACAAACGAGCTTGTATTGAGAATCGTCAAGGCTTTTTTTGTAGTTCATTCATCAACCCGACCGAGTGGCGCGAAAGGCGAATAGCGATATCAAACACGTGAAAAAGATACGATTTTTTTTCACTTGTGTTGTTACGGCTAGAAATCATTTTTATAACACTTTAGTTTATATGATAATCTCTTTTTATGCCACCATGAATCCATTATCATTAATTAAGATAACAACAATTACGATTCATCAATATCAATATCCTAGAATATAAGAAACGATACGATAGGACAGAAGGGAGTTTCTGGGACTGCTGTCATATGAGATTTTCACCAGATATAAGCATCTTTAAGCAAGTCTGGTATCCCTCTTAGATTTTGTAATTGAGTTTCCGAACGTTGTCTTGGGTTAAAAGTTTGAAGAGATTACTCAAATCCTCTGGGTTAGCTTGTAAAAAAAGGGTATCTCAAGAGCTCAAAGACAACCTTTTGCATTATAGCCTAGAATATTTCGAAGATTGTTGAGGAAACAAGACTAACGGATTTCACTAACTATCGGATCAGGAAGAATAATGAATAAACAGATGATTACGAAAATGATCGAACTCTCGTGACGCGTGACGAATCAATTAACGTGACTCGCTCAGACTTTTCAAATATATAAGTTAGCAAGCAAATGATACTTACGACTGTGGTGCGTGAGACCGGCAGTGTTTTTCGAAAGAGTCACATTTAAGTCTGAGATATCAGCCATAACAGTGGAAGAATCCTTGAAACTGAGATAATAAAAGCAATACTTTCACCTCTCTCCATTCTCCCTTCTCCTCCACTTTTGTCTCACGGCCTATGGATTTGTTTCTCTCTTGACGTCAGTTGCGTATGCCCCAATATGAATAGTATATTTTATATATCTGGCTTAGTGTGTAACTTGATACTTAATTTGGAAGAGCATATAATTTCATTCTCCATACATTAAAACGCATAAACCTACCTTTATTTTTTGAACCAGGTTTCTTGACTTTCCAAAGTCAGCGGGCAGGGAAGACATTCTTACAACAGTAGGATTCTGTGGTAGAATTACATTATTACGCTTGAACCGATATATATGATATACGAACTTAAGTCCGTCAATTCTAACGCGCAGCTTCATCTGTTTGATGGATTAAGGTGATCTTTTTTATTCTTTCAAGAACAGATGGGATACTCAAATTACACTTTAGCCGGCAAATATTATTTATTTGAAGAAAACCGTCGTTGAACGAGTATTAATCTAAAGGAAACTATATTATGTAAAATATAACCAAAACGTCAACTAAATACAGTTATTTTTATGCGTGCGTTCAGTTTGTTTTAACAGCTCTTCACAGCTTGCGCAAATTATCTTTAGCCTTATTGGTCCATTTTTAGATGGAAAAACAGATCACGATGCACGTGCATTATGATGTCCATTATAGTCTAACTCCAGCAAAAAGGTTTGAAAGATGTTGAAGAATCCGCCATGATGCTACCATGTGAAAAACCAGTATAAGGGCACTGACAACTGCCAACGAAAACTTATGATGTATGGTGCGATGAAAGGGATTCATTCCAGTAAAAGTTATAAAACGTTCACAGTCCAGTCCATACGTTGTACGCTGAGTAAGTACATGCAAGCTATATTATACTCTTGATTGTGCTATTGAAATGTAAAGTTGGAAGTATATGTTGAGATATAGATATATTCAGATAACTCGGTATTAGGTTATCTAACAGCCCTGTTCCGAATTAAACCATAGAGAAGCAAATATAGACAGAGGCTTTTAATAACAAAAAAAGTAAAATTAAGATAGACAAAAGAATGAATAAATTATTAGATAAATAAATGGAAAAATTGAGGAGATTGGTCTAACGCTGTTTTATAAAGGTATTTGAGTTTTTAAAAGAAAAAAATTAATAGAAGAAAATTCAAATAAAACAATCATGCTGTATTTAACATTAAGTGATGCTTGTGGTTTATGATTGTTTTGGATATCAAGGATCGCAAGAAGACAACAGCTTAGTGACCAACCTTAAAATACATTAAGGCTCTCTTCTGTGTAAAACAAACTTCGAAATTTTCTCAGGCATCTCAAGCGACGAATCGTTGCAATTTCATGCAGATGAAGAACATTCATAGAAATCATTTCCACACCGCTTCCTAGTGAAAGTTATTAATAGCTCATTCCCGCACCAGATGGAGGCCGTTAGGCTTAAAACTCATGAAATGATCAACGCGCGCGACCGTGTTACCAACACCCTACCGTCGAAAAAGTTGTCAGTTTACGACCTTTTTTTGTTCGTTGGCAGTGCTTGACTATATGAACAAGAAAGTTTGTCTCTTTCTCTGTAAGCGCGGCAAACCCCATAAATGACTTGCATAAGAGTTTAAACGAGGATTCTCTTTGCTTTCGACGAAGAGTTTCGAAATGTTAAAATAACAATGGGATTATTATTCATTCTTGGCCAGCGTTTGTTCCGTCACTTTGCACTCTTAGAACAGTAGCGCGTGAAAGGAAGAGAGCTGAGTCGTCACTTTACCAGTTTACGTGTTTGCTATGTAAGAAGCGATATAATACTAGGTTAGATATTTCTAGGGGTAAAAATTTCACTGAAACGTATCGTTTTAGACTCGCGTTTCAATTATTAAGACTTTTTCATACTGACAAGAAGCTGAGATGCGAAGCGTTTTACATTTGCCCTTTGACAGCTACCCGAGGAAGTTAGAAAACATGGTGGTCAGAAGTTTAAATGCAGAAAGAAAACAACTTTAGATAGTGGATTAGTATTATTCTAGGTCGATTTTACTGTACTTCAAATACTGTTTTGCTATAACTCATTTGTTCATATATTTATTTTGTAATCTACAGTTACTCTAACTTTACTGATGCAATTGCAAGGAACAGGTGAGAAAGCATGGTTCCATTAAGAACGTATGTATCCGAAATGGAACTTAAAAAAATTCTGAGTGATGTTTGAGAATAATCTGTCACCGATTGCCTCAGAATCTGAGAGGTTGGAGGACGAACGTATGGCATATTGGTTTATCAAAGGAATCTGGGAATTGGACTTGGGAGCGTGGAAACCCATTGAACATTTCGAAATGGAAAAATTCTAAGAAACGTCCTGAGGGATTATATGCGGCGATGTACAAGAATAGTGGCGTTTTTATATCAATCTCTCCGCGAAATGCAAAAGCCTTTATCTGTGAAATGCGCGGAAGTAACAAGGCATTCCACACGTCAAGTAAATTATAATCCAAAACACTACGCTTAGCATTTTGATCCTGAAGAAACTTCTTTTTCAGAACAACTCTCAAAAGTAGTGCTGTACCCAAAAGCTCATTTTAGTTAAATAGTTACACTAGACACCCAGGTAAAGAAACATGTGTCAGATGACACTGAACAAAAATGTACTCTTATCATTATTATTACCATCTTCATCATCATCACCATCATCACCGCGATCGTTGTCATCGTCACCACGTCATTACTAAAATTAGCAGTAGTAATCAGTATTAGTCAAAATATCATCATCATTAAATACATACTGTGTTTAACAAAACAACTTTTAAACATGTTTAAGCTTTGGTGTGAATGCGGCATTAGTCAAAATATCATCATCATTAACATATACTTAACATATTATTGTTAACGTTAGTATCGCTGTTGATCCTTTTGTTGTAGAAATTATCAACATTGTGATTGTAAGCATTATTTATTTATTTTTTGTTAGATAATCAGTTTTTGATGTTGTTTTTATTTTTCAGAATGCCAAAATCCTTCCTTTAATAACTCTTGGTACATATTTTCAGAGAGGGGAAAAACATGGGACGTAAATCAACGCACCTGCCGAAACCAAGGTGGAGACCTGGTTTCCATCGAAACTAGAGGAGAATGGATGTTTATCAATAAAGAGATTCGAAAGCGCTTTTCTTTCTTTTCTTCTAAGTTCTATCATATTGGTTTGGAAAGAAAGGCTGACATGTGGACTTGGTTGAGTGGAAGACCGCTGACTATTTGCCACTGGGAAAAAAACCCGCCAACACCTAAGAGAGATGTGGCTGTTATACTCAAGGTGTCTACAAGCGACAAACAGTGCATAATCAATTTCTTCCGTAGAAATAGGTGGGCGGCTTATATCTGTGAGATCTCCAACGGTAAGACAAAACTATTTCATATCGGGCGGGATAATAGCAACGTTATCGTACAATTTTTAGGAATCCACGTGATCATAACAGAAGATATGAAGCTTCTAACAAGTTTTCACTTCTAGTTGCATGGGTAGAATAAAGTTGAGACAAGGTTAAAGAACTGATTGTCACCATATACATGCCTGAGTAGTGAAAAAATTAGAGGTTAATTACCGACCGTTTGTTTACCAATCATTTCATCAACATCACGGGTACCACCAGTTGAAATAAAATTAATAATGATGATAGACTAAACAAACAATTATAAACTTCCGATTATTATTCATCTTAATCTTTGATGTTTCGATTGAACAAGGTGATGTTTAATTGCCTGCTCAAACACCCACTCCAATATGTCTGCGCGATTATTACGCCTGATGAATTTCAGGAAGACGGCGAGTTTCGATCTAGGGTTGTAAAGCTAGTTATCGTTGAAAAGTAACTTACGGATAGCGTTTCCAAAGATACACGAACTTTCATCATCTCATCATTTAACAAAACAAACATCTAAGACTTCAATACTCCTTACATTTTCGTTTAGATGCATTATCTTTTTCTTATTATTTTTTTTTTATTAATTTTAATGCCTCCGATTGCTTATAGGATCTAGTTTCACAGTTTCAATGCGATACGAAATGTGTAGAGAAACAACTGATCAGAGGGCAAAAATGGTGGACACTTTGATCAACGTAGCATTAAGTTTAATTGGTTGAGAGCGCGGGTTGTAATAATTTCCCTAGTTCTCATATATCACCAGATGTAATAGTTGCATTATCTTGTTTAAGAACTCCTCGATACTGTGTTGGAACTGAAATGGTGTTGTGTGCACCAAAATAATCATTCTTCTTGGTGCTGAAGCAAAGCGACGGTTGACGATATTTCATTATGTCAATTGTAAAAGAATTACTGCTCAGAAGAAACCAATTCTTTCTTTTATTCTTACTTTTGTTTTTTTTTAATAATACTTCCTCTGCATCTTAGTTATACTTTATTTTTATGGCGTTTTCAGTTACAGGACAAAACTCTTCGCAGACCTACTATCAAGAATACGTTGAAGTACCTTGCACGCTGGAATATGGCAATAAGAGTTGGGTGCAAAATTGCAACTTTACCAGTTATAGCTGCAAAATGAACTGTACCGTAACCAGTTGTGAGCACGTGCCAAATAATATCTCCTTCGAGGTTTGCGGGCAAGATTGTAGTCACACGAACTCATTGGTAGACCAATGTTCTGAGCAAATACATGACGGAGGTTATCATACTTGCTACGCCGCGGGATATAATCTGACAATCGGCAAGAAGGAATTTGCATCTGAGAAGGCTTACTATTGTGAGGGTGGTCAATGTAATTTAAAATGCAATGGAATAAGGTGCACTCAAATATGCAAAGAAGGAGAAGACGGTGAGTATAAAACAAAAGCAGGAATGATATCAAAAATCAACGTCGCTGCATTTCTACTCACTGATCAAGCTTTGAAAAGTAGAGTTTGAGGACCTTTTCTTCTGAGTCAAAGTGAAACCTATACCTCTAAAAACCTTTACATTTAAACATATAACACTTATATTCCGTTGGAAAGACCTGACCATCCCGGCTGAAATTTCCTACCCCTCTCAAACAATTTTTTTCAAATTCCTCACCCCGTGGGAAGGGACGACGGCAAATGCCCGTGGGGTAGGAAGGGAGGGATGGGGGTGTTGAGGCTTCAGCTAACTCCAGCTAGCTATTAATAAAATTGGCTACGCTTTGTAGGTTTTCTATCTGAGATGACACTTTTTGTCGGAAAAATGTTCGAATTCTTTACTTTTACATTTAAATAACCAGATTACATTTGCTTCTTACACGGCTTAGTTTTTGTCCGATTTTTTTTTAAGGCAGCGCTTCTGCAAGCCTAAGCAAGCTAATGAATTGGCTGAATTGTTGCAATGATCGAGCTGTTGCATTTTCCCTTTCACTCCCAAGATCTCGTAAATAATTCTCCTTACTGTCTGCCATAAATGACGGTATCTTGAAGAATTTGGTATTGGATCAATCAACTAATACTACCTGACCGATATTTTTCTTTATTCTCATCTCTTGCCTGCTTGATATTGCAATGATATTGTCAGCATAAATTCTTTCCTGATCATTCATGGAAGAAAGGCCCACTTGTTTTGTGTCTGTAATACCGATATGATGGTAACTTATGAATTGATAAATATTTCATGGACTAAACAACAGAAGTAAGGAATTGATGAAATCATTTGTCGTCGATATCCCAGTTACCTTATCCAGATCTTACGTAAGATGCGTGAAACTAAAACAAATTCAGATATGACAACAACAAAAAACCAATTTATATCAATATAAATCAAGCGAATACAAGAAGTACCACAAAAAGAAAGATACTGATGAGGAAAAATGTATCATTCAATCTTGAGTAATGCCATAATAATCATTATCAATTAATCTTTCTGTTGTTTTTTTTGTTGTTTCTGGAGATTTATTGATATCAACGGGTACATCATCATCTTCGACGTCACCTGTAGCAGTCTCTGCATCAACGGAATCAGCATGGACTCAACCGTCGCCGCAGCCTTCGTTGTCTTCTTCACCTTCACCTGTACTCTATCAACTGTAATTCTTGTCCTTGTGATTGTCATTTTTCGGATCTTCGTGGTTCATAATTGCAACTGTTATTTTCTTTATATTAGGCAAATGAATATGTCTCTAAATTTGACAGAATAGAGATCATCAGAAGCAGTTCCTTGCAGGTATTTCAATTACACACATATTGCTATGCAGCATAAACCAAATTTGTGCATAAATGTATAGTTATAATAAGAGTTGGCTAGAATAATAAAAAAAAAAGATTAACTTCAACCACGTTTTAGAGAGGTAGCACAGGCTTACGTTTTAAAGGCATTATGAATTGATAATATTTGTAATAAAAAGACAATCGCAAATAGTTGATATCCAGAGAGACATGATTTTATCTTCTCAGCTTCATCATAGGTACAATTCCGTTGATTTGGTAACAATTTTCTTATTTCTCTTTATGTCATTTGTGACACAGCTTACGGCCGAGGACGAGACTATTCTGCAAATTATCACCAAAGTGGGATTAAGCTTTTCTATCACCGGAATACTTTTGACAATTATTGTGTATTCCTTCATCACGTAAGTACCACAACCATGCATACGTCTAAAGAACTTATTCTTTATTTGATTTTAAAGATTTTCGACTCAAATTACATCAATACGCGATAAAAAAAATGAATTAATGAAATTAATGATAAATAATTACGGCAGAAACGAATAAGGATAATTCAAATCTGGATCTCTGAGCGACAGTGATTTAAATGCCTTAACTGGAACAGTACCACATGAAATTAGAAGCATTCGTTGCCGAATAATACTTTTTTTTTGTTTTTTTGTTTGTTTGTCATTTTGTTTGTTCACTTGTTTCACCAGAGATGTTCGTCAGCCTCTTTCTCAAATACGATTGAGTTTTTCTGTGTCACTCGGAGCTGGTCAAATAATCTTTCTCGCCGGTATAAAGGCCACAGAAAATAGGGTAAGTGACTTCTTCATCCATTCACGGTATATTTGCTCTTTGGGGGCTTAAGTTATTCCGAAGAAAGGAGGATTGAAACAGACAAAAATCTCCCTTTTTCTTCTCTTAGGCTTCCTGTGTTACAGCAGCAGTTCTCTCACAGTATTTCCTGATGGCCGCTTTCTGTTGGATGATGGTCGAGGGAGTTTATCTTTATCTGTTTGCTATGAAAGTTTATAACATTAGCGACAAGATGCACACGTATCACATCATCTCATGGGGTACTTTCATTTCACGTATGAGTTTTTTGTACCTGCCTCTTTTGAATCGCCTCTGTGATTCTGCGTGTGATTCTGTAGTGACCCCCTCCTATTTCTGTTTAGGTTTTCCGGTCGTCATGGTAGGCATTTCATTGAGCGTTGCGGCTGGAAAAGATGGAATTCAAAGTTATACCAGTGACAAATAGTAAGATAATTATTGAGTTCTTGTCTCTTCATCTTTTGTGCCTTCCCACTCTCTCTCTTTTCGCTACAAAATATTTGTTGTTTTTTATTCTGTTTCTCTTCTAGATGTTTTGTTACCGGTAAAGGGTGTGGGTTTGGGGTTTTATCGCCGCAAATCTGTGTTTATTTTATGTTCTCCTTTTACCTTTCAAGTTGTTGGCTGTCCTCAACTAACAACCTGATCTGGATATTCGTCGCATTTGTGGCGCTCATTGAAGTTGTGAGTTTTTGAGGCCACTTTATTACTTTTTATTTACCGGGATTTACTACTATTGAATACTTCTTTTTCCCCTGCTCCTTAATCCTTAACAAAAAACATGAACACGCTTCTGTTTTTGACGACCTGCCCCGAAGTTTGCAATCTTCCCTATTATAAATGCCTGTATGATTTTTTTGGGCATTTCTCCTTGTAGCATTTAGTTCTCCTTACATGAAGATTTAGGGTTCAATTCACAGAGAGGGATTCAGACTTTTTCTTTCGCTAACGCTCGTAACAAGACGACTAACATTTTTCCTCTTTTCGACGACACATTTCACATTCCTTTCTTTTTTTCAGTTCAACATATTGATAATCATCCGGGTCCATAAAGAGATGAGCACACTGATGCAGCCAATGGTGGAAGACAAGCGTTTCCAGCAGATACGGTGGGATTTTAAATCAGCATTTTAAAAATTAGTACTAATAAACAAAATCTAGGGAAAACAGGATAAAGCAATGTGAGAGAATCGTTGTCTCAACTTTTCCTGTGGTATGGATTTTCCTAAATTGCACTCTAGTTAATCTTAAACAATAAGACATTGAGTGAAGGAAAAACGCTTCTATAAATTAGTCCACAAAACTTATATGGCTGTCGTTCTTCAGACTTGGCATGAAAACATGCGTGGTGATGGTGCCACTGCTGGGTGTCACGTGGTTATTTGGTCTTTTGTTACCATTACACAAAGCTTTCGCCTACATTTTCACCCTCTTAAACTCCACTCAGGTAAGCTTTTAACAGAAATTGTTAAATTTTAATCAAAGGTTTGCATCAAATTACACCTCAGGTAAAAACAGACACTAACTAACAGTTGATAAGTTATTTCTCCATTCATGAGATCTACAACGTACTTTGAATCAATATTTAAGCCCTCCGTTACGGTGGTTTCAAAGATGAACAAATGATCAGAGCATCATACACCTTGAACCCTATGCAAACTTTGTCAACAAAGACTAGCCCTACCCTACGACTAGTTCAAAACATTATTATACTGACCAATTACAATGAAAAAAAATGATCTTAAAAGAATGATCTGCTTTTAGGGTTTCATGATTTTCGCCCTTCACTGTATGCGAAACAGCCAGGTGAGACTGAGAATGTACATAATGAAAGCGAATTGTGAAGTTTTTAGGCATAAATTAAACATTTGATTGCTTAACAACAGATATTTGGTTGCCTGTTCATCTACAGATTAGAGAGCGATTCAAGAGGAGGATGAACACCATTTCTCCATATGCAGTCGATGGAAACTTTACAAAGAAGGGCTCACATGTTAATCTAGGTGATGCCGGAAATGTGTGGACAGTTGAATTGCAGTCTTTTAATAACTGAAGAATAGCACCTAACTTGAGTATAGCAACTCAACCGACTTTTAGCTGTAGCCAATCACATAGTGTGATCGTCAAGGCGAAGGTATATCTTCAATTTAGCTTGTTCAGGATCGAAATGACAGCAAAGTCAGGCCTTCTGTGTCCACTAGTAAGTCAGTATAACAATGTTTTGCTCAAAGTCTAGCATTTTTTGAATGGGAGATATTCTCTTCTAAAAGATAGCTAGAAAAGCTTGAAGCCAACACTGTGGCCCATGTGTGAATAGTGTTGATGCGACTAACACTAATACCCCATCCACACCAGCAAAACATGTTTTAGCTACACCAGATTTAACTGAACAAAAATACGAATCTGAGAACTGAAAATCTGAATTTTATAAAGGATTCAAGTAGTCAATAACTTGTATTTTCAATGTGTTAAATTTGAAGCCGACGAACATCTTTTTAAGCAGCTTAAACTGTTTTTAACAAAATAGCCTTAAAACATGCTTACCTAAGCGTTGGGTGAATGTGGTGTAAGATAATAACAAGGAGTTTGTATTTTAGAAGCTTTTAAGTTGTTTAGTTTCAGTCCCAGTTATTTTTTTTTTTTGACAAAACTCACGTTGTCTGAGCGAGTCACAAAATTCATTGGTTACCGCTATATAACTACATGTGTTTTGAAAAGTTATTTGCTGAAATTTGTTGATCGTGATGATAATGCCTTTCCCATTAGATGTAGATTGAAGAGATGAACTTAAAAGTCTGAACAACATTTAGATATTGGGTTAGCCTATTCGCCTTTGAATTTGAATTCGCTGAAATTTGTTGATCAATGTTGTCACTTTTACCATTCGTTGTAGATTAAAGAGATGAATTTAAAGGTCTGGATAGAATTGAGATATTGGGTCAGCCTATCACCTTTGAATTTACGTAAAACAATTTTCTTTTTCTTTAATTTATTTTCGTGTGCTATGCAAGAAGTTGTAAACTTAGTCAAATAGAATGTGAAACAAAATTGGTATCGATCAAAGTAATCAATAAATGACAAGTAGATAAGAAATGTGATGTCGCCCTGTTACATCCTGTGGGTAGTTTAGTGAGTGGGCATTTTCTGTCTTATCCTCAAGAAGAAGTTGGCCTGTACAGTTTTCATTCAAAACATCCTGATTATATATTTATCTGCCTTTTTATGGTCCTGAAGGGGGAGGGAGGTGGAAGCTTGTGACCATCATATACCACGATGGAGTTTACTCCTAAATACACCTTTAAGTTGCAAGGTGGTCAACAGCTAGTAAGCTGATATGATCAGCCTAGTTGGATGGCCATAAAGAGGAGTTCACAGACGTGTAGGTCTTACAATAATGAAGAGAGCTTCTAAATACACCCTGTGGCTATCTCCAGGCTCTACATGGACAGGGCTATAAGCCATTGTGAATTTGGGGTCCCCTGGCGTGACTTCAGTGAATAGGCTGGCTAAGACAACTGTGTTATCTCTTAAGGACTACTTATTTACCCCGGGGAGAGGCAGGGGAATCTCCTTCTCTCCAGGCAGAGGGGACACTAAAAATAGGGGAGCCATTTCAAGACAACTATTTCAGACTCTACATGGATAGAGCTATCAGCCAGGATGCTTTTAGCATTCCCGGAATAGAACACAGGCGAGTGGGCGGGTTAGAAAACTGTGTTGTCAGTTGTGGTTTACTTATTCTGCCATGCGAGTGGATATTGGACGCCCCTTCTCTCCGGGTCAAGTGAGGCGCCAAAAGTAGAGAGAGTGAGATATCCCAAGACTTCACGTGGATAGGGAAAGAGATTGACAAATAGAGAGAAGTGTTGTCCGTCTCTGCAAAATTCAGCTAGATCTGCATTTCAGATGCAGATGCAGGATGAAGGGGGCGGGTGCAAGAATTTCTGATGGATGGGGGGGGGGGGAGGGTCTACGCTTGATTCAGAAATCACACTATTTTTCTATACACTACAACCTAAATAGGCCGAGAATTATCCCTCAAGACAAACAATTATGAATATTTCATATGGAGTAATACATATGATCTTATCATTGCCAGAATTACCGACTTACACAAGTAGTAAAAAACGCACTTGTTTGTTGTAAACGAACAAGGGGGGAGGGGGTGGGCTCCAGACCCTCCGAACCCTCCGAGCGATGGGAGAGAACCTTATCAATCAACCTACTTTTTTGTCAAAGCAATTAACAATTCTCCACCAAGGTTCTAAATTTGGAACCCTTTTCTTGATTCAGTCCCTTTTTAGTCAAATCTTCTCAGCTTTAAGACAAAAATTCAAAAGTTTATACCTATATAAACACTGAATTAGCTAAACAGCACATTTGCAGCACACTCCTCTCCTTTACTCTCCAAACTAGAAAAGTAAGATATTTTCCTAGTCAATACGTTTGGAATCGCCAAATTCATGTTTCATTTTAAAAAAAAAATATCTATTTTCTCAATTTTTGTTACAAATAGCCAAATTTACTGCTATGGTACCAGAACTGCGACGAACACATTTGTGTCGTACAAATCTCAAGCAATTAACAATTCTCTTTTTAGTCAAATCTTCTCAGCTTTAAGACAAAAATTCAAAAGTTTATACCTATATAAACACTGAATTAGCTAAACAGCACATTTGCAACACTTATCCTTTCTCAAATATACTGCTGTTAGTAAGGTGGCTTCTACCATAAGCTCGGTGGCTTCTTGGGTCTCGTCGCCTTCCACAAATCATAACGCTGAGGATATTTTTTTTTCGGATTGTTAAAAAGGCAGAAAGAAAAAGCAACAAAAATGGGATGATGAAGCTTCCTTTTTTAGACTACAGTATCCTTAGCACTTATCAAAAGGATATCCTTGCACAGTAAAATTCTATGTTCTGTTTAACAAACTTATTAGCTTGTAGCAGACTCTTTGGCCGATGTTTTTCAAGCTTGTCTCCCAAGATAGATTATCACCTAAGTATATTCCTAATTATACTTTTGCTGCTACCGAGTTTGACCTCTATGCTATATGTTGCGATCTCAACGATTGAAGTCGAGTTGTCTGTCATTTATATTAAAGCGTGTTAAATGAAATCGAGTGTACAAAGCATAAATATCGTGAAATTCGCCCCCTTGATCTGATAACACCCTGTAAAAGTTTTCCCTCAAAAAATGGATCTGACATGAGCATTTGAATTATTTCTTTTTATTATAAGACAATGATTTTTAAATTCAAGTGAAAGCCGTGTTTTAACACAAACGATTTTATCGAACTAAGTAAGGATTTAGCCTTGCTCTTGTTTATTTTCGAGGAGCCCTTGCTACTTTGAAATTCGCAAAAAGATACAGAAAAAAATGTGCTTCGAATCAAGGTGCCAACATTGAATCTGACCTCTATAAGACAATAAAATAAAATGAAACAATTCCAGCCATGCGGCTGAACAAGCCACGAAGTTGGCGCGAAAGTTTTCGGTAAAATGTGCTTATGGAATTCCAAGCATTGAAGAGAGAGAGCTAATGACTTACCTTACTTTTCAAAGATTTTAAAGTCGATGAAGTAAAAATTGGGAAGAAGAAAACCGCTAGATAGGAATAGTGACTTGCCTCCAACTTCAACAGCTCAATGGCTTTGTAACCGCTTAATTTTGCCTTTAAGCACTTCCGGGTTTTCTTGGAAAGTTTAATGATTCGATTAATTCATAGGAACTGCGCCTTTTGCCTTTCAACGGATTGACAAAGAACGATGTTGACGAAGAATGATATTGATCTTAATCATTGATTAGCCCACAATAGGTGATTAATACGGTAGCCGGTAAGAACAAAACAGAATCACAAAACCTACAACACAAACACAAACTTAAAACAGAATCACAAAATCCGCAACACAAGCACAAAACTCACAAACTTTAGTTTGTGTTTGTGTCATGGATGGTTCATAAGGAAACTTTAATTGATTTCTGAAAACTAAATTAAAGGTTCATTTCCGAACTTTTGTACATCACTTAAAGATGTCTTAAATGTTTCTAATGTTAGCCTTTAAGTTACCTTTAAGGCAACTTAATTGAGCTATTTCGTTCTCAGCCACGAGAGTGCCATTACCAAAGCCACTGAATACGAAACTTTCGGTTTTTCGTTCCATATTTTGGTTTTCTCCCGTTTCTAGGAAAGTTTCAATGTCACTGGCTGTGAGCGATACAGATTTTTCAGTGTTTTGACAGCCATAATCCGAAAAATTCTGACAAACGGTCTTGTATCGTGAAGGCTTTGCCATTCATTCATCAACGATATTTTTTCACGGGTATTGTTACGGCTTTTCGCAGGGCTAGAAATCCTTTTATAACACCGTAGTTTATATGGTAATCTCTTTTTTTGCCGCCATGAATCCATTATCATTAAGAATAGATAAAAAAATTACAATTCATCAAATATTTTTGCTCGCGCATAATTGGTCTCAAGGCATCACGAGACTGAATAACCCCCCCTCACTTAGTCAAATTGGGTGATATTGAATGAATCGAATGATATCCGAGAATATAAGAAACGATTAGATAGGACAGAAGGGAATTTCTGGGAGTGCTGTCATATGAGATTTTCACCAGATATAAGCATCTTCAAGTAAGTCTGGTATCTTTCTTAGATTTTGTAATTGAGTCTACGAACGCTGTCTTGGGTTAAAATTTTGAAGAGATTGCCCTAAATCCTCTAAGTTAGCTCGTAAAAGGTATTTCAAGAGCTCAAAGGGCAACCTTTTGCAATATAGCCTAAAATGTTTCGAATATTGCTAAGTGAAACGAGACTAACGGATTTCACTAGCTATAGGATTATGAAGAATAACTAATAAACAGATGATTACGAAAATGATCAAACTCTCGTGACGCGTGACGAATTAATTAACGTGACTCGCTCAGACTTTTCAAATATGTAAGCTTGCGAGCAAATGATGCTTACGACTTTGGTGCGTGAGATTGGCAGAGTTTTTCGAAAGAGTCACATTTAAGTCTGAGATATCAGCCATTACAGTGGAAGAATCCTTTAAACTGAGATAATGAAAGCAATACTTTCACCTCTCTCCATTCTCCCTTCTCCTCCACTTTTGTCTTACGGCATATGGATTTGTTTCTCTCTTGACTTCAGTTGCGTATGCCCCAATATGAATAGTATCTCTTTTATCTCTGGCTTAGTGTGTAACTTGATGTTTGATTTGGAAGAGCATATAGTTTCATTCTCCATATAATAAAACGCATAAACCTAACTTTATTTTTTGAACCGGGTTTCTTGACTTTCCAAAGTCAGCGGGTGGGGAAGACATTCTTGCAACAGTAGGATTCTGTGGTAGAATTACATTATTATGTTTGAACCGATTTATATGATATACGAACTTAAGTCCGTCAATTCTAACGCGCAGTTTCATCTGTTTGATGGATAAAGGTGATCATTTTTATTCTTTCAAAAACAGATGGGATACTCAAATTACATTTCGGCAAATAAGTGTTATTTATTTGAAGACAACCGTCGTTGAATGAGTATTAATCTAAAAGAACCTATATTATGTAAAATATAACTGAAACGTTAACTAAATACAATTGTTTTTATGCGTGCGCTCAGTTTATTTTAACAGCTCTCCACAGCTTGCACAAATTGTCTTTAGCCTCATTGGTCCGTTTCTAGATGGAAAAACAGATGGCGATGCACGTTAGTGAGAATCAATTATGCATTATGATGTCCATTATAGGCTATCTCCAGCCATAGGGTTTGAAAGATGTTGAAGAATCCGCCATGATGCTACAATGTAAAAAACCAGTGTAAGCGCACTGACAACTGCTCACGAAGAATACGATGTATGGTGCGATGAAAGGGCTTCATTCCAGTAAAAAATATAAAAGGTTCACAGTCCAGTCCATACGTTCTACGCTGAGTAAGTACATGCAAGCTATATTAAACTATTGATTGTGCTGTTGAAATATAAAGCTAGAAGTATATGTTGAGATATAGATATATACCGACAACTCGGTATTAGGATATCATACAGCCCCCTTCCAAATTAAACCATAGAAAAGGAAATGTGGATAAAGGCTCTTAATAACAAAAATATAAAATTAAGATAGACAAAAGAATGAATTAATTAGTAGATAAATAAATGGAAAAATTGAGGAGATGTGTCTAACGCTGTTTTACAAAGGTATTTGAGTTTTTAAAGGAAAAAAATTATTAGAAAAAATAATCAAAATAAAACAATTATGCTGTACTTAACATTGAGTGGTACTTGTAGTTCATGATTGTTTTGGATATCAAGGATCGCAAGAAGACAACAGCTTAGTTACCAACCTTCTGAATATGCCACTTGGTTAAAATACACATAAACTCTCTTCTGTGCAAAACGAAGTTCGAAATTTTCTCAGGCACCTCAGGCGACGAGTCATTGCCATTTCAGATGAAGAACATTTATAGAAATCATTTCCACATCGATTTAGAACCTCCAAGTATATTAGACTTGGAGATGGAGGCCATTAGGCTTAAAACTTTTGAAACGATCAGCGCGCAACCGTGTTACCAACCCCTTACCGTCGAAAAAGTTGTCTTTATGACACTTCTTTGTTCGTTGGTAGAGCTTGACTATGTGAAGAAGAAAGTTTGTCTCTTTTTCTGTAAGCGCGGCAAACCCCATAAAATGTCTTGCATGAGAGTTTAAACGAGGATTGTCTTTGCTTTCGACGAAGAGTTTCAAAATGTTAAAATAACAATGAGATTATTATTCACTCTTAGCCAGCGTTTGTTCCGTCACTGTGCACTCTTAGAACAATAGCGCGTGAAAGGAAGAGAGCTGAGTCGTCACTTTACCAGTTAACGCGTTTGCTATGTAAGAAGCGATATGATGTAAGGTTAGATATTTCTAGGGGTAAAATTTCACTGAAATGTATTGTTTTAGACTCGCGTTTCAATTATAAAGACTTTTTCAAACTGACAAGAAGCTGAGCTGCAACGCGTTTCAGATTTTATTTGATGGCTCTCCCTAAGACGTTTGGAAAACTTTCTGGCCAGAAGTTTAAATGCACAAAGGAAACACCTTCAGATAATGAATTAGAACTATTCTTGGTTGATTTTACTGTATTTCAAATACTGTTTTTTCCATAACTCATTTGTTCATATGTTTACTTTGTAATCTACAGTTACTCTACTTTTGCTGATGCAATTGCAAGGAACAGGTAAGAGAGCATGGTTCCATTAAGAACTTATGTATCTGAAATGGAACTTAAAAAAAATTCTGAGTGATGTTTAAGAATAATCTGTCATTGATTGTCTATTGGAATTGCATTAATTGGGTTGCAATTTCTTTATAATGTGAGTTGGAAAACAAAGTAACAAAGTTAAAGGTCAGCGAGGCTTATACTAAAAACAAAATTAACGCTTATAAAACTTTAACCTAATTCCAAGTATTGCTTTAGTTTATGTCACCATTATCGTCATAATTACAAGTATCAGGTAATAAGTATTATCTATTTAGCGATATGTTTTTCTCCATCAATATATATTGTTCACTATAGAGTGCCAAAATGCCTGTTTCCAAAATTCCACGTACACATTTGCGAGATGGGGAGGAACTTGGTTGGAGAACAGTGATGTTTGCAAAAGCCAAGGTGGTTACTTAATTTCCATCGAAACCAATGAGGAATGGAATTTTATTAAACAGAAGATTCAGAATCGGAGTTGTTGGAGAAAGAAATTATGGCACATCGGTTTATCAAAGAAATCTGGGGATTGGATTTGGGAGAGTGGAAACTCATTGAACATTTCGAAGTGGGAAAATTCTAAGAAACCTCATAAAGGAAGATTACATGCGGCAATATCCAAGAATGGTGGCCTTTTCAAACCAGTCCTTTGGCAGAATAAAAAGGCCTATATCTGTGAAATGCACGGAGGTAACAAGACATTTCACACTGCTAGTACATTATAATCCAAAACACCACCCTTGGCATTTTGATCTTGAAGAAACTTTTTTTTTCAGAACAACTCTCTCAAAAGTAAAAATTGTGCTGTACCCACAAGCTCATCTCAGTTAAATAATTATGCCAGACACCCAAGTAAAGAAAAATGTATCAGATGACATTAAACAAAAAGTACTTTTATCATTATTATTACCATCATCCTCATCACCATCATCATCGCGCTCGTTGTCATCATCACCATGTCGACGTCATTATTACAATTAGTAGTAGTAATTAGTATTAGTCAAATTATCATCATCATTATCATATCAAATGCATTTTTATTGATATCGTTATTATCATCGTTGTTGCTTTTGTTGTATAAATTATGAACATTCTGATTGCAAGCATTGTGATTGTTAGATAATCAGTTTTTTTATGTTGTTTTTATTTTGCAGAATGCCAAAATCCTTCCTTCAATAACTCTTGGTACATATTTTCAAAGCGGGGAAAAACTTGGGAAGTTAATCAACGCACCTGCCGAAACCAAGGTGGAGACCTGGTTTCCATCGAAACTAAAGAAGAATGGATGTTTATCAGTAGAGAGATTCGAAACCGCTCTTCTAAGTTCTATCATATTGGTTTGAAAAAAAAGGCCGACATGTGGACTTGGTTGAGTGGAAGACCGCTGACTATTTGCCAATGGGAAAAAAACCAGACAACACTTAAGAGAAATGTAGCTGTTATACTCAATGGGTCTACAATCGACAATCAGTGCATAATTGACTACTACAATAGATCTAAGCGGGCGGCTTATATCTGTGAGATCTCCAACGGTAAGACAAAACCACTCCTAATTCATATCGGGTGGGAGAATAACAACGTTATCAAGCAAACTTTTAGGAATCCAAGTGATCATCACAGATGATATGAAGCCTCTAACAATGCAAGTTTTCACGTCTAATTGCATGAGTAGAATATAGTTGAGACAAGGTAAAAGAATTGATTGTCACCATATACATGCCTGACCATTGAGTAGTCAAGAAATGAGGGGTGAATCAGCGACAGTTTGTTTACCAATCATAATCATCACAAAACGGGTACCACCAGTTGGAATAAAATTAATAATAATGATAATAGACTAAACAAACAATTATAAACTTCCGAGTATTATTCATCTTAATCTTTGATGTTTTGATTGAACAAAGGATGGTTAAATGCCTGCTTAAATACCCACTCCAATATGTCTGCGCGATTATTACACCTGATGATTCATCTTCGAATTTCAGGAAGACGGCTTGTTTCGATCTAGGGTTGTAAAGCGAGTTATCTTTGGAAAGTAACTTACAGACAGCGTTTCCAAAGATACATGAACACTCCTCATCTACTCAATATAACTAAACAAACATCTAAGACTTCAATACTCCTTAAACTTTTGTTTAGATGCATGATTTTTTTCCTATTTTTTTTAAATTCATTTTAATGCCTCTGATTGCTTATAGGATATAGTTTCACAGTTTCAATGCGATGCTAAATGTGTAGAGAAAAAACTGATCAGAGGGCAAAAATGGTGGACATTTTGATCAACGTAGCATTAAGTTTAAATGGTTGAGAGCGCGGTTAGTAATAATTTTCTTAGTTCTCATATATCACCAGAAGTAATAGTTGCATTATCTTGTTTAAAAACTCCTCGATACTGTGTTGGAACTGAAATGGTGTTGTGTTCACCAAAATAATCATTCTTCTTGGTGCTGAAGCAAAGCGACGGTTGACGATATTTCATTCTGTTAATTGTAAAAGAATTACTGCTCAGAAGAAACCTATTCTTTCTTTTATTATTTTGGTTTTTTTGAATAATACTTCCTCTGCATCTTAGTTATATTTTATTTTTATAGCGTTTTCAGTTACAGGACAAAACTCTTCGCAGAGCTACTGTCAAGAATACGTTGAAGTACCCTGCACACTGGAATATGGCAATAAGAGTTGGGTGCAAAATTGCAACTTAACCAGTTATACCTGCAAAATGAACTGTACCGTAACCAGTTGTGAGCACGTGTCAAATAACATCTCCTTCGAGGTTTGCGGGCAAAATTGTAGTCACACGAACACATTATTGGTAGATCAATGTTCTGAGCAAATACACGAGGGAGGTTATCATATTTGCAACGTCACAGAATATAATCTGGCAATCGGCGAGGAGGAATATGAATTTGAGCAGGCTTACTATTGTGAAGGTGGTCAATGTGATTTAAAATGCAATGGAATAAGGTGCACTCAAATTTGCAAAGAAGGAGAAGACGGTGAGTATAAAAGAAAGTCAGAAATGATAGGTAGGTTGTAACATAATGCGTATATCAATTTGAAGCTTCAATATCCCCCTCTCCCCCCTCCACCCTCCCTCTTACGGCAACCCTTTAGGCATTTGAATTTTTGAAGATTGATTTATTCAAATACCCATCGCCTCCCCCCTTGTGGGCAAAAACTGTGTTCAAATTCCTTACCAAGTGCCGGATTCGATATTTATTTATTTATTTATTTGTAAGAGGCAAAATCAACGTCGAAGGCATTCTACTCAATGACCAAGCTTTGAAAAGTAGAGTTTGAAGACCTTTTCTTCTGAACAAGAGTGAAATCTATATATTTCAAAACCTTTACGTTTCAACATATAACACTTGTATTCCGTTGGACAGACTTGACCATTCCGGCTGAAATTTCCTACCCCACTCAGACAATTTTTTTTCAAATTCCCCACCCCGTGGTTAGGGACGACGGCAAATGCCTGTGGGGTAAGAAGGGAGGGGTGGGGGTGTTGAAGCTTCAGCTAACTCCAGCTAACAATTAATAAAATTGGCTACGCTTTGTAGGTTTTCTATCTGGCATGGCACTTTTTTTCGGCAAAATGTTTGAATTCTTTACTTACACATTTAAATAACCAGATTACATTTGCTTCTTACACGGCTTAGGTTTTGACCGATTTTTTTTAAGGCAGCGCTTCTGCAAGCCTAAGCAGGCTAACGAATTGGCTGAATTGTTGCAATGATCGAGCTGGTGCATTTTCTCTTTCGCTCCCAAGATCTCGTAAATTGTTCTCCTTACTGTCTGCCATACATGACGGTAACTTGAAGAATTTGGTATTGGATCAATCAACTAATACTACCTGACCGATATTTTTCTTTATTCTCATCTCTTGCTTGCTTGATATTGCAATGATATTGTAAGGATAAATTATTTCTTGGTCATTCATGGGAGAAAGACCCACTTGTTTTGTGCCTGCAATACCGAGATGATGGAGACTTATGAATTAATAAATATCTTATCGACTAAACAACAGAAGCAAGGAATCGATTAAATCATTTGTCGTCGATATCCCAGTTATCCTATCCAGATCTTACGTAAGATGCGTGAAACTAAAACAAATTCAGAAATGACAAAAAAAAATTAATATCAATACAAATGAAGTGAATACAAGAAGTACCACAAAAAAAGAGATATTGGTAAGGAAAAATGTATCATTCAATCTCGAATAATGCTATAATAACCATTATCAATTAATCTTTCTGTTGCTTTTTTTGTTTCTGGAGATTTATTGATATCAACGGTTACATCATCATCTACGCCGTCACCTGCAGCAGTCTCTGCATCAACGGAATCAGCATGGACCCAACCGGTACCGTCGCCGCAGCCTTCGTTGTCTTCTTCACCTTCGAGAAAAATTCACAAACTGGTTTGTACTCTATCAGCTCTAATCCTTGTCCTTGTGATTGTCATTGTTAGCATCCTTGTGGTTAATACTTGCAACTGCCATTTTCTTTGTATTAGGCAAATGAATATGTCTCTAAATTTGACAGAATGGAGATCACCAGAAACAATTCCTTAAAGGTATTTCAATTCTACACATATTGCTATGCAACAGAAACCAAATTTGTGCAGATGTATAATTAGAGTAGGCCATGATAAAAAAGATTAACTTCAACCACGTTTTCAGAGAGGTAGCACAGGCTTACGTTTTAAAGGAATTATGAATTCAATGGATTCAAATCTCTTAGGCTTAGTTGATTAAGTACCCGACCAAGATCAGCCGGAAGGTCTGCGGCTTGAATGCTCGTGGGAGACTCAGATCGTTTCTTTTAGTCACACTGAAAATCAATGTCAAGTGCTTAGCACCTTACCTCAACAACAACAAAATACATTTTATGTTATTGCAGGAGGCTATAGGGGTTTTTGATGACTTCGTCATCTGTATGAGAAACATCATGAAACCTCTTAACGGCACGTTTAGCACAGAACAGATTGAGACAAGCAGAGCATCCACCTTTGACGTGGCAGATGTGTTCGAGGAATTTATTCTTAATTATGGCAAACTCCACCTGGTTGGAACGAGGTCTTCAGAAGAGATCTATAGCCACAAATTGGGTGAGTCAGAACGCGACCATCAATTGTCCTGATCAGCGCTGATCCATTACTTGTTTATCCACTAACTGGGTAATGAAATGATAAAATGGTCTTCCTGCCTTGATGATGTAATAAACTATAACACGTGCTCCATTTTCTAAGCGTTATTGCTGGATCAAATCGATCCATCTTCTCCTTCAATTAACTATTTGCGTTTATGAATCATTTTGGAGGTGGAAATAATTGCCAGCGATTTTCATCCTTAAAAATATCAAAATGTCTTGTTCTCGATGGCTCTGTGTTCCTTAGAGGATTAACCCTTTAACTCCCAAGATCTCATTAGTAATTCTCCTTACTGTCTGTCATATAGTTCTTGTGATGTTAGTTTGGAGAATTTGATGTTGGATCAAGTTATTTAATCCCCTAGTTAATTTTTGTAAATTCTCATGACTTGTCTGCTTGATACTGTATTGGTGTTGTAAAAGGAGAAATTCTGTCTTGGTCACTCATGGGAGTAAAAGGGTTAATTGTACTTGCTACGTGGTAATTCTATAATCACAATATAGTAGGATAATGACATCATATTTGCTGTCCAGTCCGAAACACATTTCATCCAACATACTTTGTTGTTAAGTTTTCATTTGCTGTTTTCTCCGTCAGTGCTGCGTATTCAAAAAGCCTACCACCAAAATGCAAGTGACTTTTATCTTGAGAAACCAGAATGGCAAGCAAGCATGAATATTTCATCAGCAAATTTTGCGAAAAACGGTTTGTATTAACTACCTGGTCAACTCTCTAACGTATTGACACAATGCTCTTTTGGTTTCTTTTCAAATTGCAATGGTATTGAAAACCATCTCCGTATACAGAGGAGTTTGTTTGTTGATGCACACAGTCTGTTTGACTCGTAGTTTTTTGGAATTCAAATTATCATGTTTTTTTAGCTTGATATATTTTTCTCCTCATCACTATTTAGTATCGGTGGTTGTTGGGATTGTGTACAAAGATCTCCATGATCTCTTAGCTCCAGATCAACCCATCAGGATTAGATCAGGCAATAGAAGGTAAAATTAATTCCCTCGATGTTTAACCGAATGCACCAACAGAAACAAAAAAATACAAAACAAAACAAAACGCATTGCGTTCAACCAAGAAGGTCTTATAACGTTTTCAAAACCCTGTTTGTTGATTCTCCAGTGAGTCAATGCATATTTTAGCGTTTACGACATTAGTATGGAAGTAGCACTTGTTTTTAGTGGCGCTAAGGATGCCATATCCTTAGCAATTACCAAGCTCAACATTGATATGCATCATGTTTAAACTGTGTTTTTTTTTCAGGCATTTGGGTTCCAGGATAATGGCCGTAGCAATGGCTCCAAACCCAGACAAGCTGCAAGAAAATGTCGTCTTAAAGTTCAGAAACCTGGATGTAAAAGCAAGATCAAAATTAGTATGTGGCAACCGGTCGTTTCGATGTAAAGTCGTCTCGATACATTGATAAACTCGATTCGGTATAAGTAGAAAGTCATTTCGATACATATCGTTTCGATACAAAGTAGTGAAGGATAAATTTGGTTGTTTTAAACCGTCATCCAGTCCGATAACGAGAGGTTAAGAAAGCTTCCTAAGATAAGAGATTGCATCTCCGTAAGTACGTGTGGTACGCGAGCTGCTTATGTGTAATTAGGCAATCGCGTTCCAAGTATTTGAATGAACTTGTGAAAGATGAACTTTTTAGTACTTTATGTTCGTTAGGGTTTATCATCCAGACGTATATTTGCTCCCTCTAACGACCGTAAACGGTTTTTACGTTATGTTAATTTATTCCTAAGAGATCATATTTTTTAGGTCGATAAAGGGGAGAAGAAATGCATGTTTTGGAGTGGCCTCAGCGAGAGGTAAGAAGCTGGAATATATTACTAGCCTTGTTTCGGAAGAAATAGTTTCGTGGATTTTAAATTTGTTAAGTATCATGCTTGAAAGGCCTTTTTCCTGGGCATAGGCAATTGCTACCATCATAGATAAGTTGTCAGTGAGAAAAAGCACATTCCGACTAATCAGATCTCGCGAACAGGAAAAACATTAAAATGAAAAAAAAAAACCCGCTTGTCTAACCTTTCAGTTCCTCGATGGTTTTTGAGGTCATTTCTTTTTCTTGTTCACCACTTTTTTATTCTTTTTTTTTAGTTCAGAAGAGTTCTCAGGGAGAGGATGCTATGTGGTTACATCGAAAAGCAACTCAGAAGAAACAGTTTGCAGCTGCAGTCATTTCTCTCATTTTGCTGTCTTAGTTACCTACGATAGTATTCCAGGGGTAATGATTTTATCTTCTCAGTTTCATCATAGGTACAATTCCGTTGATTTGATAACAATTTTCTTATTTCTCTTTATGTCATTTGTGACACAGCTTACGGCCGAGGACGAGACTATTCTGCAAATTATCACCAAAGTGGGATTAGGCTTTTCCATCACCGGAATACTTTTGACAATTATTGTGTATTCCTTCATCACGTAAGTACCACAACCATGCATACGTCTAAAGAACTTATTCTTTATTTGATTTTAAATAAAGATTTCGGACTTAAATTACATCAATACGCGATAAAAAAAAAATGAATTAATGGAATTAATTATAAATAATTACGGCAGAAACGAATAAAGATGAATCAAATCTCGATCTCTTAGCGACAGTGATTCAAATTCCTTAGCTGGAAAAGTACCACATGAAATTAGACGCATGCGTTGTCGTATAATGCTTCTTTTCTGTTGTTTGTCTTTTTGTTTGTTTGCTTGTTTCACCAGAGATGTTCGAAAGCCTCTTTCTCAAATAAGATTGAGTCTTTCTGTGTCACTCGGAGCTGGTCAAATAATCTTTCTCGCCGGTATAAAGGTCACAGAGAACACAGTAAGTGACGTCTTCATTCATTTACGGTATATTTGCTCTTTAGCGGCTTAAGTTATTCTGAAGAAAGGAGGATTAGAACAGACAAAAACCCGGCTCTCTTTTTTATCTCTTAGGCTTCCTGTGTTACAGCAGCAGCTCTCTCGCAATATTTCCTGATGGCCGCTTTCTGTTGGATGATGGTCGAGGGAGTTTATCTTTATCTGTTTGTTGTGAAAGTTTATAACATTGGCGAAAAGATGCACACGTATCACGTCATCTCATGGGGTACTTTCATTTCACTTATGAGTTTTTTGTACCTGCCTCTTTTGAATCGCCTCTGTGATTCTGCGTGTGATTCTGTATTGACCCCCTCCTATTTCTGTTTAGGTTTTCCGATCGTCATGGTAGGCATTTCATTGAGCGTTGCGGCTGGAAAAGATGGAATTCAAAGTTATACCAGTGACAAATAGTAAGATAATTATTGAGTACTTGTCTCTTCATCTTTTGTGCCTTCCCACTCTCTCTCTTTTCGCTACAAAATATTTGTTGTATTTTCATTCTGTTTCTCTTCTAGATGTTTTGTTACCGGTAAAGGGTGTGGGTTAGGGGTTTTATCGCAGCAAATCTGTGTTTATTCTGTGTTCTCTTTTTACCTTTCAAGTTGTTGGCTGTCCTCGACTGACAACTTGATCTGGATATTCGTCGCATTTGTGGCGCTCGTTGAAGTTGTGAGTTTATAATTGATTGAAGCCACGTTATTACTTTTATTTACCGGGATTGACTACTACTGGATACTTCTTTTTTCCCCTGCTCCTTAAAAAAAAACTTGAACACCTTTCTCTTATTGACGACCTGACTCAAAGTTTGCAATCTTCCCTATTATAATTACCAGCATAATTTATTCGGCATTTCTTATCGTAGCAGTTTGCAGGAATGCGTACCATTGGGTCCTTCTTATATGAAGATTTGGGGTTTAATTCACAGAGAGGGATTCAGACTTTTTCTTTCTCTAACGCTCGTAACAAGACGGCTAAATTTTTTTCTTTTTTTCGACGACACATTTCACATTTCTTTCTTTTTTCAAGTTCAACATTTTGATACTCATCCTGGTCGTTAAAGAGATGACCACATTAGCGCAGCCAATGGTGGAAGACAAGCGCTTCCGGCAGATACGGTGGGATTTGAAATCAGCATTTTACAAATTAATACTTATAAATAAAAATAATGGAAAGCAGGGTAAAGCAATGTGAAGGAATCGTTGGGTCAACTTTTTCTGAGGTATGGATTTTCCCAAATCCACCCTAGTTAATCTCAATTAAACAATGAGACATTAAGTGAAGAAAAAACCCTTCTAGAAATTAATCCACAAAACTTATATGGCTGTCGTTCTTTAGTCTTGGCATTAAAACATGCGCGGTGATGGTGCCACTGCTGGGTGTCACGTGGTTATTTGGTCTTTTGTTACCCTTACACAAAGCTTTCGCCTACATTTTCACCATCTTAAACTCCACTCAGGTAAGCTTTTAACAGAAATTTTTAAATTTGAATCAAAGGTTTGCATACTTAGGCGCTCAAACTACACCTCAGGTAAAAACAGACACTAACTTTATTCAGATGATATTTCCCATTCAACATTATTCTAATCGATATGATAAGTTATTTCTCAATTCATGAGATCTGTAACGTACTTTGAATCAATATTTTACCCCTACGTTACGGCGGTTTCAAAGATGAACAAATGATAAGAGCATCATACACCTTGAACTCTATGCAAACTTTGTCATCAAAGACTAGCCCTACCCTACGACTTGTTTAAAACATTATTATACCGACCAATTATAATGAAAAAAAATTGATCTTGAAAGAATCATCTGTTTTCAGGGTTTCCTGATTTTCGTCCTTCACTGTGTGCGAAACAGCCAGGTGAGATGGATATCAGACTGAGAATGTACATAATGAAAGCGAATTGTGAAGTTTTTAGACACAAGTTAAACATTTGATTGCTTAACAACAGACATTTGGTTACCTGTTCATCTACAGATTAGAGAGCGATTGAAGAGGAGGATGAACACCATTTTTCCACATGCAGACGATGGAAACTTTACAAAGAAGGGCTCACATGTTAATCTAGGTGGTGCCGGAAATGTGTGGACAGTTGAATTGCAGTCTTTTAATAACTGAAGAATAGCACTTAACTTGAGTATAGCAACTCAACTAACGTTTAGCTGTAGCCAATCACATAGTGTGATCGTCAAGGCGAAGGTATATCTTCAATTGGGCTTGTTCAGGATCGAAATGTCAGCAAAGTCAGGGCTTCTGTGTCCACTAGTAAGTCAGTATAACAATGTTTTGAACAAGTCGTGGTGTAGTGCTAGTATTTGTTGAAAAAAGTTTGCATAAAGGAGGGCAGTGAATGGTACCCTAGCAAATTGTAAGTCTCGCGAAGTATTATCCGATCACGAAATCACGGCTCAAAGTCTAGCATTTTTTCAATAGGCCATATTCTCTTCTAAAAGATAGTTAGAATAACTTGAAGCCAACACTGTGGGCGACAAAAAACCGCCCAGGGGCCCATGTGTGAATAGTGTTGATGCGACTTCAATGATTAAAATTAATACCCCATCCACACCAGCAAAACATGTTTTAGCTACACCAGGTTTAACTGAACAAAAATACGAATCTGAGAACTGCAAATTTGAATTTTATAAAGGATTTAAGCAGTCAATAACTTGTATTTTCAATGTGCTAAATTTGAAGCCGACGAACATCGTTTTAAGCAGCTTAAACTGTTTTTAACGAAATAGCATTAAAACATGCTCAAGCGTTGGGTGAATGTGGTATAAGATAATAACAAGGAGTTTGTATTTTAGTAGCTTTTAAGTTGTTTAGTTTCAGTCCCGGTTTTTTTTTTTTTTTGAAAAAACTCACGTTGTTTGAGCGAGTCACGAAATTCATTAGTTGCCGCTATATAACTTAATGTGTTTGGAAAAGTTATTCGCTGAAATTTGTTGATCGTGATGATAATGCCTTTACCATTAGATGTTAATTAAAGAGATGAACTTAAAATTCTGGACAAAATTTAGATTTTGGGTTAGCCTATTCGCCTTTGAATTTGAATTCGCTGAAATTTGTTAATCAATGTTGTAACTTTTACCATTCGATGTAGATTATAGAGATGAATTTAAAGGTCTAGATGGAATCGAGATATCGAGTCAGCCTATTCGCCTTGAATTTACGCATTACAATGTCCTTTTTCTTTAATGTATCCTCATGTGCTATGAAAGAAGTTATAAACTTAGTCAAATAAAATGTGAAACAAAATTGGTATCGATCAAAGTAATAACGAATAAATAACAAGTAGATAAGAAATGTCATGTCGCCCTGTTACATCCTATGGGTAGTTTAGTATAAGTGGGCATTTTTTGTCGTATCCTCAAGAAGAAGTTGGCCGGTACAGTTATCATTCAAAACATCCTGATTATATATTTATCTGCCTTTTTATGGTCCTGAAGGGGGAGGGAGGTGGAAGTTTGTGACCCTCATATACCACGATGGGGTTTCCTCCTAAATACACCTTTAAGTTGCAAGGTGGTCAACAGCTAGTAAGCTGATATGATCAGCCTGGTTGGATGGCCGTAAAGAGGAGTTCACAGACATGTAAGTTTTAAAATAATGAATTCGAAGAAGAGAGCTTCTAAATACACCCTGTGGCTATCTCCAGGCTCTACATGGATAGGGCTATAAGTGATTTCGGTGAGTAGGCTGGGTAAGAAAACTGAGATGGTCGAAGCTTGATTCAGAAATCACATTTTTCTATACACTACAACCTAAATGGGCCGAGAATTATCGCTCAAGACAAGTAGTTTTGAATATTTTATATGGAGTAATACATATGATCTTATCATTGCCAGAGTTAACGAGTTACACAGGGGGGTGGGAGAGGGTGAGGTTCAGACCCTCTGAACCCTGCTACATTTGCCACAGCAACGGGAGAGAACCTTACCAATCAACCTACTTCCTTGTCATGGCAATCGCCTTATTGTCCTATTTGTCGATTTTCTGCACCAATTCAGTTATTGTTATGAGTTATAGTGATTATAATCTGAAGCAAAATCATATGAATTACAATGTAAATAGTAAGATTCGGAGTGCCTCGACTGATCTGTCCTTCTTTTCAAGAAAGAACTTTATTCCTTTCTGCGTCGCTATTGAGGATTGCTTGAAGACGATACGTCATATTTCTGGCGTAACCTCTTCATTGATGTCATCTAGAAGGTTTACACCAGATATCCAATAGTGTGGAAGATTTCTTCTCTCCAGATAAATCTGCAGAGCTCTAAGAAATCCAAGGAAATGGTTTCCCAGCGCGTCTCCGCTCGCCCAGTTTTGTAAACCACCTTGCTAGGACAACGAGGCTGTAAAACCAACCATCCCAAAGGCGTACAGGGTCGATATAAACTTCACGACTTGCATACTTTCCGAACAACGAGTCATCTCTTGCCTTGAGGCAAACATACCCAGATATTCCGGATTCAATGACCCCAATCTCTCTCCTTGTCGTTCTCAAAACTACCATGACATCTACTTCATCGGCGGCTTCAGTCTTCAGCCTCTCGTACACACTTCCGGTATAATCCAGTTTTAGTATAGGAAGAGACGAGTGCTGTTGGCAAAACACTATGACTTGATTTTTGACGTACTTAATTATTCACCAAGCGTCTGGTGCGGGCCATGTCGTCCTCGGAAATTTTGACATACTTTACACAGAAAGCACGAAGTTTCCTCTTTAAATTCGAAATATCTCCTCTCCTTGCCTCGGCTACTGTGTAGTAATAATTTTCATGATTCCCCTTCCTATGGTTGTTGTGTGCGAATCAGTCAACATATAGCTAAATCAAAAGGTAATATACCGATTGAGGTCTCGCTTTTTCCTATCCTCTAAAACCAAAGTCAATTTGAACTACACTTTAATCTATCTATATCGTCTAATGCAACTCCGTCTGGTAAATAGAATGCAGAAGAGAGCTGTGCAGGCTATCACCAACTCAGACTATCGAGTACACTCTTTTATTCTCCAAACCAGAAATTTAAGATGTTTTCCAAGTCAATACGTTTGCAATCGCCAATTTCATGTTTCACTATTAAAAAAAGTATCTATTTCCCCCATTGCTTCTCAATCGTTTTTGTTACAAATAGCCAAATTCACTGCTTTGGTACCAGAACTGCTACGAACGTATTTGTGTCGTACAAATCTCAAGCAATTAACAATTCTCTAGCAAGGTCCTAAATTTGGAACCCTCTTCCTGTTTAATTTCAGTCCCTCTTTAGGCAAATCTTCTTAGCTTTAAGACAAAAATCCAAAGGTTTTTACCAATATAAACACTGAATTGGCCAAGTAGCACATTTGTAGCACTCATCCTTTCTCAAATATATTGTTGTTAGTAAGGTGGCCTCTCCCATAAGCCCGGTGGCTTTTTGAGTCTCGTCGCCTTCCACAAATCATAACTCTGAGGATAATTCTTTTTTTCGGATTGCGAAAAAGGCATAAAAACCAGACAGTATCCTTATCAATTATCAAAAGGATATCCTTGTATAGTAAATTCGTCATTCTATTTGACAAACTTACTAGCTTGTAGCAGACTCTTTTGACCTCCATGCAAAATGTTGCGATCTCAGCGATTGAAGTCGAGTTGTCTGTCATTTAACAATACGTCGTGTTAAATGAAATCGAGTGTACAAAGCATAAATACTCGTGAAAATCGCCTTCTTGATTTGATAACACCCTACAGGAGCTTTCCCTCAAAAAATGGATCTGACATGTGCATTTGAATTATTTCTTTTTAAGACAGTGGTTTTTAAATTCAAGTGAAAGCCGTGTTTTAACACAAACGATTTTATCAAACTAAGTAAGGATTTATCCTTGCTCTTGTTTATTTTCGAGGAGCCCTTGTCACTGTGAAATTCACAAAAACATACAGAAAAAAAGGGGTTTCGAATCAAGGTGCCAAGATTGAATCTGACCTCCATAAGACAATGAAATAAAATGAAACAACTCCAGACATGCAACTGAACAAGCCACAAAGTTGGCGCCAACGTTTTCGGTAAAACGTGCTTGAGATGAATTTCCAAGAATTGAAGAGAGATAGCTAATGACTTATCTTACTTTTCGTAGATTTTGAAGTCGATCAAGTGAAACTTTGGAGAAAACCGCTAGACAGGAAAATGACTCGTGACTTGCCTCCAACTTCAACAGCTCAATGGCTTTGTAACCGCTTAATTTTGCCTTTAAGCACTTCCGGGTTTTCTTAGAAAGTTTAATGATTCGATTAATTCACAGGAACTGCACCTTTTGCCTTTCAACGGATTGAAAAAGAACGATGTTGACAAAAAATGATATTGATCTTAATCATTGATTTGCAAACAATATATAGGGGATTAATAAGGTAGTCGGTAAGAACAAAACAGAGTCCCAAAACCTACAACAGAAACACAAACTTAAAACAGAATCACAAAATCCGCAACACTAACACAAAACTCTACAACACAAACACAGACTTAAAAAAAATCACAAAATCCGCAACACTAACACAAAACTCACAAACACAAACTTAATTAAGTTTGTGTTTGTGTCTTGGATGGTTCATAAGGAAATTTTAATTGACTTCTGAAAGCTAAATTAAAGGTTCATTTCAGAACTTTTGTACATCACTTAAATGTTTCTAATGTTAGCCTTTAAGTTACTTTTAAGGCAACTTAATTGAGCCATTACCAAAGCCACTGAATACGAAACTTTCGATTTTTCGTTCCATATTTTGGTTTTCTTCCGTTTTTAGGAAAGTTTCAATGTCACTGGCTGTGAGCGATACAGATTTTTCAGTGTTTTGGCAGCCATAATCCGAGAAAATTCAGACAAACGAGCTTGTATTGAGAATCGTCAAGGCTTTTTTTGTAGTTCATTCATCAACCCGACCGAGTGGCGCGAAAGGCGAATAGCGATATCAAACACGTGAAAAAGATACGATTTTTTTTCACTTGTGTTGTTACGGCTAGAAATCATTTTTATAACACTTTAGTTTATATGATAATCTCTTTTTATGCCACCATGAATCCATTATCATTAATTAAGATAACAACAATTACGATTCATCAATATCAATATCCTAGAATATAAGAAACGATACGATAGGACAGAAGGGAGTTTCTGGGACTGCTGTCATATGAGATTTTCACCAGATATAAGCATCTTTAAGCAAGTCTGGTATCCCTCTTAGATTTTGTAATTGAGTTTCCGAACGTTGTCTTGGGTTAAAAGTTTGAAGAGATTACTCAAATCCTCTGGGTTAGCTTGTAAAAAAAGGGTATCTGAAGAGCTCAAAGACAACCTTTTGCATTATTGCCTAGAATATTTCGAAGATTGTTGAGGAAACGAGACCAGCGGATTTCACTAACTATAGGATCATGAAGAATAATGAATAAACAGATGATTACGAAAATGATCGAACTCTCGTGACGCGTGACGAATCAATTAACGTGACTCGCTCAGACTTTTCAAATATATAAGTTAGCAAGCAAAT